CATCTTCCTCTGGGCTGTGACGTCCCTCAAACCCCTGTTGTAATTCTGAACTGTCTTCCTCTTCTCTGGAAGGGTCAGGCTGGGGAGGCGGTCTCCACTATTCCTCCTCTGCCCAGTCCCTGACAACAAGCTAAACTTATTGTGGACTTCACAATCTTGAAACAAATGTTAATATCTTTAATTTAATACAGTAACTGTATCTGACTAGCTTTGTACCACACACCTGTACCCCATAGCTTCCAGCTTTTTGGCAAATTAAGAGTCCAGATGGAATAAGGAAAATGGGATGGTGGCAGTGGCCCAGGGGTAGGAGCACCATCAGAGTGGAAGTTGGGTTTTCATGCCACAAGAGGTCCAGAGGGTGACAACATGAGAACAGGCCTTTTCTGCGATGGCTCCCCGCTTGTGGAATGCTCTTTCGAGGAAGGCTGGCTTAGTGCCTTCATTATATATCTTCAGGTGGCAGGTGAAGATGTTTCTCTTCAACTGGGCCTTCGGCTGATTAACATTCAATGGCCTTTTAAATATGTTTGGGGGGATTATTGATGTTGTGAACTGCCCTATGATATTTGGATAAAGGGCGTTAAACAAATTTTACAATAATACCACCACCACCACCAACAACACTATAAAGTATGGGGGAAGAACCCTTCACACACACAATTCATTAATATCTGTAGGTGTGTTGACAACAATGTGATAGAGGGATGCTGCCAAGGATTGTGCCTTCGCTCTTTCCCTGTTGATAGCAATAATCCCTGAATAGCATTGCTTCCACCCATACTCATCTCTTCCTCTTCCTCTTCCTCTTCCTCTTCCTCTTCCTCTTCCTCTTCCTCTTCCTCTCCCTCCCCCCCCCCATGTAGGCAGGCAGGCATGCAGGTGTTACCGGTAATTACTGGTTTCCTAAAACCCGCCATTAAACAAAGAAAGAAAAATGAGAAGAAACAAGTGGGAGGAGAAGCTGGCATTGAGACAACAGAGAATATTGAAAGTGCAGATCATGGGCTACTCATCACTACTTCCCTGGCCTTGATCAACAGGAATCAATAAAACAGGATGAAGCTATATAGAAGAAGCTTTCAAATAACGTTGGAAAGAACCTTTGCTGAATGGAAGTGGTTGGACATTATCAAAGGATATTTGTCAAAGAAAAGGGCATTGCTTTATCATACAATGGTATATTAGCTGCTGTGTGGAATTTCTGTTTTAATTCTCTGTCCACCTCATTTCAAAAGTGCAATGCTTGTGTGTAGAGGAAAAGGGACCTTGGGCCTTATTATGTGGCCATGCTACCAAAGTCACATAACTTCTTTTACTCCTGTCGTGTAAATCATGAAATCTGCAATGAGAATCTTCACATGTTTGTGGAGGATTCCTGTGCCGTTTAGAAACAAAGGCTATCAGGCTTCTCAATGTTGCAGAGAGCCCTCACTCCTAGAGGAGTCTTCCTGCTGTAGAGTATTGTAAACATGACTGTGTTAGGATATAGTTCCGTTCCACCTTAAAAGGATCAGGCATGACTGTTGTGTGTCACATGCCTGTTTACTTGCAGCACAGTCTGCTGGGAATTTCAGTTTGTATATTGCTTTTGCTTTTTCCTGTTTTGCTTGGACACGAAGGGAAGCAGACATGTTTTCCCACTGTCCTGCTGCTGAATAAATGCTGTAAATATGCTTACACATGTCTCTGTCCGCTACTTCTGCTGCAAAGAGTTTTATCTCTGCTGGCTTGCGTGCTTAAGCCTCTGAAGGCTTCTGAGGCTTAAGTCACAGTTTTGATGCTGCTCCGAGAACCCGAGTTTCACCTGGCTGCTGGCCAGTGGCTGGAGCCAACTGGGGGCCTGCCAGACGCCCCTGTCTCCCAGCAGCATCCCAACAGACTGCAGTAGTGGGGGCAAGAGAAGCCAGACCCTGGGAGTGGGAGGAAACTCTTTTCAACATGCTTTCCCTCTATATGTGACTAATGCATTAAGAAGGCTCAAGCCTCAGCTACAGAAATGGGCTCTACTGTGGAAGCATCCTTACCCCTACCTGTTCAAAGTCCAGGTCTGTAGCCACTGTACCACAACTGTCAGTCAACTAGCGATCTCTCAGATAAATATGTGGTCAGTACATAACTGATATATAAGAAATTGCCTTATGCTGATGCAGATGATCTTACTGTTGTCTCACTGTTACACTTTTTCATCTGTCTTCTTGATGGCATTCACTAGAGTTTCTAGAGATTACATCTGGGTGAAACGCATGCTCTAGCACCCAGGCATGCCCTCTTTGATATGCATGTCTCTTAACATTTCAAAACACTCCAGCAGGGTGTTCATAGGATAAATACAAATGTTGCAGTGTTATAGAGCAGCTACAAATTTGACTGAAAACTAAACCAGTGGTTCTCTTTCTGCTCCACGCACCAATGAGCTGAATGGATATGATTTTCACCCAACATTTGAATCTGATTGAAATAGATGAAATGAATTATTCACAGATTGCACTTAAGAGATAAATGCCAAAAGGTCGAAAGTCTCTTAGAGTATTTCAGCACAATTCCCTTTAAAGGATGGTTGTTCCTCCCCTGAAGGCCACGCTTTGAGTTTTAAACAGGAAGTATCAGCAAAGCGTTGGCGTTTCTATTATCACTTGGGATTTTGAAGAATTCTGGTGGAATTAGCATCCCAGCTGTTATTGAGTTTTCTTCCAGCGCATTAATCTTGATGGTAGCTTTCAAATCCGAAACTCTGAATGAGTCCTATTGATTTCAATGGCATTATTCCAGAGTAAGCAGTCTGAGTACTGTGATTATGACTCTTGGCTCCATAGAACATCTGGAAGATAGAATCTTTTGACTCATTTGTATGCAGTCATAAAAGCATTTATAAGAAGCTCTCTCATAAATGTGCTGTTATGGTCTAAAGAAAGTTTGTGAAGATTCGTCAGGGGGCTTGCTTACAGATAAATCTGTCCACAAGAGGGCGCACATAGAAAAAATATTTTGTGAAGGCAGTGCATAGTGATAGTGTCCTCACTTCGCCCCAAATCACTGTTAGAAAACAGTGTAATATGTAGGTTACTGGTTCTTACCTTCTCAGAGCACAGGGCTAGGTTAGATTAAGGATTATTGATCATGTAACTTTGCTCCAAGATTCGTTAGATCTTAATAAAAACATTGGTTCAACCATGTATGCAGCTGACAATTTTATTGGCATGGATACATCCTTCTCCCTGGCATATGAAGGCCACTGAATAGTCTGGGAGCTTTCCAAAATATCTGTGGTTTATCATTTTTTCATTGCACTGTACCCCACACCCCCTCTTGACACAGCATTTTTCAATTGGCCTCTTTTCAGGAATATGATTCTAGCTTGAACTCCTTTTTATCTAGGGGTGGTAAGCTCACTGTCACTTAACTGGCTACAAAGTTGCATTATCCACATTTTAAATATATATAAAAAGGTGGTGCAAAAGGCTTTCTTTCATTTCTTAAGCTTCACTATTGTCTACATTCTAACTAACTGAGCTTCTTCTTCTTTTAGTCTGTCATGTTAGTTTTAAACAACTGTATGTCTCTTCTGGTATTAGGCATCTATCACTGCCATTTTGGACCTCTCAAGCAATGATAACCAAATTGCTTGAAGGGCATTAATGATGTGTGTGTTGCCCCAATTTTAAAGTTTGTTTTTAATTATTTATCTCCACCTTTTTGCAGTTTTGACTTTTATTCATTAGAGACAGCCTAGGGGTCATTATGATATGGTCATTTTCTTCCCACAACTCTCTTTGTCTCTCAAACACACATTCATCCAAACCATGTGTTTTGCAATCTAGCTAAATTGAAGTTAACTCACCTTTAAGCTTGAAGCCCTGGCCTCAATACAGTGTCCATGACCCAGAGAAAACCTAGATAGACCCAACCTTTTTCAATCAATGGTTCTTTCCTGTGCAAAGGTACAAGTCATTGTGGTGTAGTGGTGAGAATGTCAGGCTGAGGTTGAGGAGAGCCACTCAGCCTTGAAGCACACTGGGCGACTTTGGGCCAGCCACTACAGTGGAACCTTGGTTTTCAAACATAATCTCTTCCTGAAGTCTGTTTGACTTCCAAAACGTTTGAGTGAAGGGCTGTAAGGAAAGTGAATGGTGAAAATGGAAAAACGTGCAGCAGAAGCCGTTAGACTTCCAAGGCGTGTTCGAAAACAGAAGCATTCACTTCTGGGTTTTTGGCGTTCAGCTTCTGAATCATTTGGCAGCTGAGACATTCAAAAATGGAGGTTTGACTGTATCTGGCTTGTAGTAGAGAACTGATGCAGCATGTGGTACATCATTTCTAAAGTTTTCAATAATAAAATACCTTAAACTCAAGTCTTCTCTCTGAATTGATTAGTTTTACTGATGGGTGGGATGCAGTGAAGTCCCAGGTAAGCCCATATATTATTTTCCTTTGCAGTTCTATTTCATTACCATTATTGTGTTTGTATAGTTCATGATAATATGAGTTTAAAGATTTCCATTTTCTGAAAGAAGCCTTCTTACCTCTCATACTTTCCTTGACTTTGCTCTGCTCATTAACCATGCTGGCATCCTCTTGGCTTCAGTAGTACCTTTCCTGTTTGCAGTATACATTCTACCCGAACTTCCATTATTGCAGACAATAGCACTCTGATCATGTGTCCATTACTATTTTAGGATTCATGATACTAATATTTGCTATGATACTCCAGAAAACAGCAATATGATTGTTATGCTGTATGATTTGTCTTCTCATTTTGTATTTTTATGTTGTAAACCACCATGTGATCTTCAGCTGAAGGGCAGTATACAATTTATGTAAATAAATAAATATTAATAATAATAGATTTCCTAGGTTTCTAAGGGCTGATTTGGTGTGTGTATGTGTATAAAAACTTGTTTAGTGCTTAACTCTCAAGTGAACATGTGAATTGCCTCCTTTGAAAAATATAGTGTTTGAAATAATGTGACATTCATCAAAGAAAAGGAGAAAGCCAGTTGCACATATAGCAATTTTAATCCATTCCATTTTAAATACCACAATAAATTTAATTTTCACAATAAATTAAATAGCCATATTCAGTTTACAAAATAGAATTACTTAGTGTGAAACCAGTATTTACAAACAATATACATTATGTACAGCAGGTTTCTCTTTGTCAACGTACAAGTAAAGAAGGGGGGGAAAGACTTCCTTTTCGACACATGATTGACATGCTACAAGTGCCAAGATGATCCATACAATAAAAACAATAGTGCAAACTCACCACAGGAAATTTGAAACAATGTTGATTGCATGAGAGAATTTCTTTTCAAACAATAGGAAAAGAGTTCCAGTAGAACTCAGCATTACAAGGGATATATTTACACTGCAAACTTGTATTGGTTTTTTGCCAGTTTAATTAGTATGGTCCCCCCACCCCAATAAAAAATCCTGGAAATAGTAGTCAGGTAAGAATTCTGTATTACAGATTCCCTGCCCCTGGTCAAAGAAGCATAGTTACTTTGAAAGAGTGACTGTTAAACCAATATAAGCCTGAAGCATAGATTTACACCTTTAAAGGGTCAATATTCTTTTAGCGATATGTATCCATAATAGCCCATCTTAGACCTTTCAATGCAATTCTTGCAATGAATTCTACCATAATATTCTGCCTTCTCTCTAGATATGTTTGGTATTAAATTTTACGGAGCAAATAGAGTACTGACCCTTTGAACTGAGTAGCTGAGTTAATTCCTTTAAATGACACCTTCTCATTTAATTGTATAGCATAAAACGATGCAATTATGCAGAGAGTAAATTTTATGTTATTCACTGCTCTGTAGAAAAATTGATCCCACCTTATATTTGGTCACACACTGCATATATACAAGTATGCATGAAAAAGGGTTACTTTGATAGCTGTGTATACGAAAAGTGCATATTTTTTACTCTAATAGAGACACGGTGGCATATCTCCAGGTGCAACACACAGTGTTGTATGAAATTTACTTTAGGGCCAGTTAAATGTCCTCCCTGTGATCTGGTAAAATTTCTGATTAAAAGGGTGAAAGAACTTGCGCAATTTGGTAATGACAGAGGAGTCCACCTCCGGATGGATGCGTCCTTTGCTTCCCGCCAGGCACTTGTTAAAGACAATGTTAAACCGCAAGCAATAAAACCCTCTGGTGGCATTGAAATATAAATTATATTGACTTATCCTTGGAGGAAGATTTAAGAACTTCTCTACCAGCTGGAGTTCTGGCAGTGGTTCTGTAATGAGACGATCGCCATCGACAATATGAAACTGCTCTATGGGAAAGTATTTTAACCACCTCTCCAAATGTTTTGTGTAGATGCTCGTTCTTACTGCCTTGTATTTAGTGTTCACCTCACAGGTATTAGGATCAATGGCCAGCTTTTCAAATTTGTAGTAGGTTTTGTTTTTCCTTTCTTTCCCCTCCAGCACCTGAGTGTAATCAGAAATAGCTCTTGTTGTGGGTTCCCTGACAATGATCAGCAATTTGATGGAGGAGTTCATTTTATAAATCCTTTCAGGTACCTCCTCTGTGATAAAGTATGCTGGACTTTTCTCAATGGTTATCTGATGAGGATAAGAAAATGGCATTTTTTTCCTGTACCACTCAATGCCCTTGGCGTAGTTCTCATCGTTATCAAAGAAGTGGATTTCTTGAGAAGCTTTGACCACTGCTGGGTGGAGGTTCAGCATTTCCAGCAGCGCCCGAGTTCCACCCTTCCTCACCCCAATTATTATGGCCTTGGGAATCTGTTGGACCAAACTGTGAAGTCGAATTTGCTCCTTGCTGGCATTGCCCTTCCGGAACTCATGTAGCAACCCACGCTTAAACTGTAGCGCTCGGAGTGGAATTTCATCTTGGCCATGGAGTCCAAATCGACCATCGATAGGGCATATGGGCTGCAGTCTGCAATTCAAAAAAGAGGCGAAATAGGAGTTATTAACAGTGAAATCTTACACAACTGCTCAGAAGTTAATAGTGCTTTCTCTAAGGTGAGTGGATATTGAATTTCAACATAAAGGTAACAAGAGACATCATTTATGCAACTGAGATGATTTGCAACAGCCCTATTAACTTGCCCAGATGTAGACAATTGTTATCATGGTAAGAGCTGAATTGACAGTAAACTAGATGGCAGTAGAACAGATAACACAAAAAAATAGTTCACCATGGTTTTTTGAAATTAACTTCTAAGGAAATCAATGCTAAAGAATTTTGAGCAACTGGAGCAACCCTTTCAGATAGGATAGCCATTCCTTGCATGAAATACATGAATGGAAACTTTGGTGTAAGTGGGCAGTATTTTCATCACACAACTGCAGCCTGTACATAAAACGGATGCAAAGTGATCATTGCATGTCTGAAGGCAGTTGACCCATGTGGTGAGCCACAGGACTGTGATTTAGAGCAGCTCCCTGAGCAATGAGCAGTAGTATCAGCTTCTGTACCTCCTAGACAGGAAGGGCTATAAAAGACTTCCTGTTTGGGCTAAGGCTTTGCCTGAGCAGCAACTGGCTTTGGCATATATTTGTGTGTCCTTTTGCTCTGACTCTCTAGCACAACTCCTTCCTCCAGCTTCTCTGACTGTTGTCTCCTCCCAGGTTCTGACACCACAGCAGCAATCACTTTTAATAGCTCCAGGAAGTGGGGAAAGAAAAGCAGCAACCATGAGTTAATCCCAAGGTATTAGTTTTCCTACACTTAGAATGACGTGACTGCAGATCAAGGAGCCTATTGAGACACTCAGACTTCTGCAGCAACAGAACAGGATTCACTAGTGAATAAAAGCCCCTCACAGCTTGGTAAAAACAGGAGATATTGGAATAAACCCTTCATGCCATTAGCAATAATTATATATGGATCCTGTAGCATTCACTGCTGCACGAGTTCAAGGAGTCAAGTACTGTGTCTGGATAATTTTATGACCATTAATAACATTTGTAGCTGTGCAAGCTTAGATTGGTGATAAGGTTAATTAAATTTCATGCCTCAGGGCACAGGACAAATTTCTGCAGGAGTCAAGAAGGAATTTTCATCCCATACATGAAACTGCATAATTGGCCATGGCCGTTATGCATATCGTTAAGGTATGGAGTTTTGCTGGTGGATGGTGGGATAATGCCAGCCTAGGCATAGATGATCCTTCCTTTTTCAGTATATGCAAGACTTCGTTTTCAAATAAACTGGAGAACTAAATTGTGACAAGTGGCAGAATATGAAAAATTTGTTGCTTTCTGGGTGAAATGATGCATAGGATTTATCACTAGGTGGATCTTTTTGGTGGTATTTAGGTGTGCATTTGTTCTCACAAGCTCAGTTTTGTACATCTGTCCTGTTGCTTGAGGAAATCATTCTCAGGCAGATCCTCTTCGCCCAATGTATCCAGCTTCAACACACACAGACACACAGCTAATTAACATAGTGAAAATCCCCCATCCCTGCAGCAATCTTTCAAGTGCGATAGGATTCCTGGCTTGACAAGCTAACTCTGCAGGCTCATGCATAATTTTAACTACCACAGTAGCACATTAATTGCCCACTCATAAATTTCAGAAAGGAAGATGCATAAATACATCATAACTGTTTGTCGAGACTCGAGGTCAATCTGCAGATGCACACACAGACAAAAATGAACTGCTGTAATGACATTTTTACTGTTTGCTGCTTTAGTTTCCTTCTGAAAACAACTGCCAATGCGCATGGAATACAAATGGAAAGGCAGGATGCATTGGCTTAGGCAAGCTGAAACTTTTAAGTTTACCCACACCCTCCTCCACCCTTAAAAAGAAAGGAAATAGCAATGAAAATCAATACTGCAGCAGATTGTATTTCTAGATCTTAGTAGTAAGACAAAGAGCTGGAAACCTATTCAATTCTTTCCAAAGTCTAAGAGGAAGTTGTGGGGGGGAAACCTCAGTTAAAGCCATTTAGGATCATGAATGTCACCCACATGTGCTAATTTAATGACTTACCTATCCAAGCTCCCAACTCTGGCAACTAGATATAGGAGACTTCCAATAGCAAGGCTGCCTAGCACAAGGAGCTTCTGTCTCAGCAACGCCTGCTGTTTGAATAGCATGGCCCTCCATCAATCTTCAGGACTTCTTCAGTCTGCAGGGAGCAGAATACATAAACCACTCATGAGCAAGTGGCAATATACAGGCTAATGTTTATTAACAGGCAGTCAATCAATTCCTACAAGTGATTAACCCACACTTGCATCTTTCTCTCCCTCCCCCTCTCACTCACAAGAAAAGCAGACAACGTGTTTATGTAGTGATGGTTTGGGCAGTGCTTCTAAATCCAAGCGCTACCAAATTCAGGGGGTTCTTGGGTCCTGAGTCCTTGAACATTCAGCAGAATGGAGATAGAGGTGGGTGCCATTGTAAGCATGTCAATTTCACCTGAATAATGTTGGATACAGAACATTCTTTTTGCAAACTCATTCACTAGCAGTTTTCTGACATCCACATGCCCAAAGGGAGAGGAACAGGCATGAAAGTGTGTAAGCAAGGTTTACAACAGTCGCTTCCTTGGGAGAAAAATCAGATATAAATGAAGGAACCTGGCTACACACTCTCATGCTCCTGTTTCGCTGCCTCTGGATGCCTTTCTTTGGGGATAAATCAGATGTTACAATGGCACAGTTTGTGTGAATATGTGGGTTGTGCCAAACTAATATGATACGGTGTGATTTGTAGCAGAGCACGGATTGGCAGAAGAAGCTGCTGAACCACCTGTTTCCCTGAAACCACTTGTCCTGAGCCTCTTATACTTTCAGTTAAGATTTCCCATTTCAAAACCCCAGTGGATATTCTCTGAGAAGGCTAGAAGAAACAAGAGGGGGTTTGTGGGGTGGGGAAGCGGGGGGGGGGGAGAGAGAGAATGGTTTAGGATGCCACTTATCCTGCACTTTTTATCCCACCCAACCCCATGGTTAAATGCTAAATTCAGCAGTGACCCAAATGTAAACAATGGCTCTCCCATAATAACATCTAGTTTGCTCCTTCGCTAGATGGAAAAACCGAACAGGTAGGACTGCAAACTCAGAAAAACATGAGCTGGTTTTAGAAAAGGGACATGGAATGGAACGGAAAAGTCTGTCAAATAGCTGGTTCTTCAGATGATCTAATCTTTGAGTAAAGACTACATCTGGCAAGAGAGTGAGATCATACATTCCCATGCCTCCCGCCACATATACAGTACCTATATTACTTCTGGGCTCACTCATAGGTGTATTTTGACCAGTTAGTTGACCAGGAATGCATGTAGGACATGAGTTTAGGCCTACAGTATAAGATCTCCTGGCGTTTCCGTGTGCTGCTCTGGTTCGCCAGAAGCGGCTTAGTCATGCTGGCCACATGACCCGGAAGCTGTCTGCGGACAAACGCCGGCTCCCTCGGCCAATAAAGCGAGATGAGCGCCACAACCCCAGAGTCGGTCACGACTGGACCTAATGGTCAGGGGTCCCTTTACCTTTACTTTATATGCAAAGATCTTTTGTAAACATTACAAACAAGCAGACAAGTATGGTGGGAACAGAAGTGAGATAGACATGACCAGTGCATAGGACAGGCAGAGATCATATTGTTCTTCCACTGTGTGCAGTCTATTGCCTAAATAGTTCTATGGAAAATTCCTTCAGCACAGGCCACCAAACCTCTAGAAGAACCTAAGTGGGTATTATTTCAGTTATTCAGGGTTACTTGCAGTGCTGAATTCTTGCTTCTAATGAACGTGTGAACTAACTCTAGGCAACCATGGTTTTGAATATTTTGATCTAAAGAGACAGATCACACCTCAAGCTTTATTTTGGTCAAAAACACTGTGGGGTTTGCTTTTGTTTTGCAATAAAATCTAAGGCCCTGTCTTGAAAGATGCATGGAGAAAAAGTGGCACATTTCCCCTGAACAACTAAGTAGACAAGGATTTTAAGGGATTTTCACAAAGCTGTACAATACGCCTTAGACAAAGCTAGGATTTGAACTTGGTTCTCAAGAATTCTAGTTTGAGCATTAGCCACAAGATGATACTCTCTTTTTTATTTCTGTTCCTACGGTCTTTTTTTTTGCATGTTTTTTTTTTTTTTTGCTAAAATAGGTGATTTTCCCCCCTTAGATTTTTAGTAGTGAAGATATACCATTGCCAAAAAATTATGATTTGCACTGAGAATATTACAAAAAACCCCCACACACATGACAGCTTGAAATGTGTGTGCCTCTATAATCCTAATTATTTTAATTAAATTCTTTAATTTTAAAAATTGTTGTTACAATGGTATTAAGAGCAGCGAATACTTACAGTTTTTAATCTAATACTACTGATATGAACATCAACACAAAAGTTACAATTTTGGAGGAGATGGTTCTGATTTGAGTTCTCAAGACTGCAGTCCTATAGAAATTTAGCTGAACTTAACAGGACTTACTGCAGAGTAGGCAAGCACAAGATGGTCCTGTAACAAACTTGAAATCCCGTGCTTTATGTTGAAAATAAGCTTGTTTAAGTGTCTCTTTTCATGTATAAATATGAGGACTGCAATGTTCATTAATATCCGCAGACTTTGTCAGGAACACAGGCAGCCACAGATGACAGCAAAAAATACATGAAAAGACAATTTATTGTCTCTGAATTTTCAAGGTTATACCCAACTAAGCCTTAATCAGAGGAGACTCACAGAAATAAGTGAATCTAAGTAATGACCATAGATTTCAATTGGTCTGCTCTGAGTATGATTCACTGGCTTCAACCCATAGTCTTTAGTGTCTTTCAGGTAACAGGAGGGGAACAGATACCTTTCCGTCAGATAAATAAGCAATCTTTCTCTGAGCTTCCCCCAATGTTTTAATTGCACATAATGATACAATCATCATCTAGTTAGCAGCAAATTTAATGATTTACACAGAACACTTGCAAACAAGCTGCTTAAAAGTGAATTGCAACTCAATTGTCTTTAAGGTTTCACTGAAGTCATTCCAATATTTTTTAAATTCTTTGTAAAACAGCCCTTGTGAATTCACATTATAAATGTTCACATATGCATGGATTGGAGTAATGGATCCAAAGAATTTGTGGAGACCTGGTTAGGAATGCAGTAAGAATTTCTTTAAAAGGCTGATGCTCTTTTACAATTCCTTAAAATTCCAACCTCTTTTATGGTGCAATTTGATCCCATAAGGCATTGTCCTTTTAAGTGTGCCTGTCTCGGATATAAGAAGAAATCAAATTTCAATTTTGTGAAATTGTTTGCATGATCATCTTTAACTTGGAAAAGTTTGAATGACATCCCCCCACCCCCTGACTTAAGTAGGTTTACTTGGACAAAGTCTGAAATCCAGCTTATGGAAGTGGCATGGTTGTTGCTGGAAACGGCTATCCCATGGTCCATGCAGCTTATCATATAGAGGACTTCCCATAGAATATTTTCTTATTAGTTCTGCAGAGACTGGCATGGAAATATTCCATTAGGTAACTGCTTAACATGCAAACCCATAACTCACATTATGACACCTGTGTGGAGCCCCAATGATGGGAAAGGTTTTGTTTTTCTGCAGCAAACATGGTTTTGCTATAATATATGAACCAGCTCTGAGAACTTGATTTAACAATAACAATTACTGTAAATAATTGACAAAAAAGACAAAAGGAAGATTCATAGACTCTGAACACCTGCTCCCTAATAGCTAATTACTGGTGTAACTGAATTTGTCTCTTATTTTTATTTTGCATGTTGGTCCTTACCAACTATTCTAGTGAGTGAAAGATGCTTATGTATTTTTAAAATGGGAGTTAATGTAAAAAATAAATAAATCGATATATTCTAGTAGGTTAGATATAAAATAATAAATGTATCTTTCAGTCTGTGTTTAAGTCTTAAACTGTTAGAACAAAACAAAAAAAATTCCTTCCAGTAGCACCTTAAAGACCAACTAAGTTAGCTCTTGGTATGAGCTTTCGTGTGCATGCACACTTCTTCAGATGTGCCTAGGGCTTGCTGATCAGAAGGCCGGCAGTTCGAATCCCCATGATGGGGTGAGCTCCCGTTCGGTCCCAGCTCCTGCCCACCTAGCAGTTCGAAAGCCCGTCAAAGTGCAAGTAGATAAATAGGTACCGCTCCGGCGGAAAGGTAAATGGTGTTTCCGTGCGCTGCTCTGGTTGGCCAGAAGCGGCTTAGTCATGATGGCCACATAACCCGGAAGCTGTCTGCGGACAAACGCTGGCTCCCTTGGCCTGTAGAGTGAGATGAGCGCGCAACCCCAGTCGTCCGCAACTGGACCTAACCGTCAGGGGTACCTTTACCTTTACTTAATACCTTGATTCTGTGGGTGGTTGCTTGTTATAGAAAAATATGTGATACATACAATCATTTGCCTTGTATCAAAGAGTTTGCCTAACTCTTAGTAGCTTGGTCAGTATTCAAGGAATGCACTGTGTATTAGAAGCAAGAAGCATAACAAATTAGAGGGGCTATTAAAGTACGAAGCGGGGAATGTCTGGCCAAGGTAGGCACCTGAGAAGCTGTATGAGTAATCTGCTGCAATCTTCAAGGGGGTTGGAAATTTTTCTACACCTGAGCTCCTCTTTTCTTATTTCTTTTCTTATTAGGGTGATAAATCTGAAAAATGTTGCAAACTGCTGTGTAAGAACAAGACAATGAGGAAAGGCATTATGAACTGTGAAATAATAATTTATCAGTCCCAGATGGTATTTTTCTAAAAAAAAAAAAAAAAACACACCACCTGAAATAAGAAATTGCATAAGTTCCTGTACCTTAAATTAAACAAGATGGGTATCAAGTATCTAGTAAAACACCAATGGACTTTATATCCTCAATAAATATTTCACAGGCAACCCAGGAAACTACAGGGCTGAACTGACACCACTGAAAAGAATCACTTTTGCGGTTGTGTGCATGCGTTCATGTGCGTGTAAAGCTTCCCTGCCTATAGGAAGGACTTCTTCACTACAGATAGGCAGGTGAGTAGTCTATTCAGAAGCCTGGAGAGATGCACGAAATATGTGAGTCACCTGTATGCATGGTTAACACTATATTTTCTTCTTTTGCAGTCTGAGTAGTATAGCTTGATTAAAATACATCTCCTTTACCCTTT